TTAATTTTATTAATAAAAAGCGTATTAATAATATATTATCTTTTACTCTCTATTCTATTCTATTATTTTTATTTTTATTATTAATATATATAATAGAATAAGATAGAATTAAGCTTAAAAATCTTAAATTTATATATATAGCTAATTATAAATTCGAGTTCGCTACGCTCTTTAATTAGACCGGCTAAGTTAGCTCGATAATCCTCTTATATCTCCCTTATTAAAAATTTATATATAGAAGTTTTACACTTTAAAGTACTCAGCTTACGATATATATAGTTACTTTATAATTTCTTAAACTATAGAGCTCGCTTTACGCTTTCTAACGCTATAAAAATTATAAAGTTTAGCCTACTATTAATAGATTAAATAAACATTTAAATATAATAGTTATAATAGTTACATTAGACGCGTTCAGGGTTAAATAATAATCCTTCCACCTATTTATGTAATTATTATTCTTTTACTACTCTACTAATTCTATTAATTCCACTAAACGCGTTAAAAGGCCCTCAAAAAGAGCTCGAACGAATACGTCCTCCCCTATATACTCCTTCTAAGCCAGCGATAGATGGGTTAAACTAATATTTAAATATTGTAGTCACACCAAACGCGTCCGGTTCAGGCACATACACCCCTTTTACCCGCCTCTTAGAGCCCCTACTAACGCCCTTAGGCCACCCCTCGGCGAATCCGCTACTACTAGCAATCGAGGCCGCAAGCGAGCCTAACAGCTACCTACTACTACTCATAAACGCGTTAAAAGGCCCTCAAAAAGAGCCCAAACGGATACATCCTCCCCTATATACTCCTCTCAAGCCAGCGATAGGTGGATTAAACTGACATTCAAATATTGTAGTCACACCAAACGCGTCCGGGATCGAATAATAATCCTTCCACCTATTTATATAACCATTCTTCTTCCACCATTCTACCAATTCTACCAATTCCACCAATATAAACACATTTACCCTCGGTACCCTCGCACTCAGTTGAATAAGAGGAGGATCTACAACAGGCGAATGCGGAGAACACTACGGAGAACATTGCGGAGACAGTCATCAGCAGCAGTAACACAACAGGCCTACTCTCCACGGTCTCACACCAATCCACTCAGCCAGTGCAAGAGAAGTCAATACAGCAGGCGAATGCGGAGAACACTGCGGAGAAACCAAGCGGCAACAAGGCCCCCAGCACCAAGAACACGGCTCAGCTCTCCAAGATCCCACGTCATATGCTCTCCACGGTTCCACATCAAATCATCACTCAGCAAGCGGAGAACACCACTACAACTTGGCCTATCATCCCCACTACATTAAGGAGTAAGAGGAGGAACTACAACAGGCAAATGCGGAGAACACTGCGGAGAACACTGCGGAGAACACTGCGGAGAACACTATGAAGAATACTGCGGAGAAACCAAGCGACAAGAAGGCCACCATCGTCAAGAACACGGCTCAGCTCTCCAAGATCCCACGTCATATCAATTATCCACTCAGTCAGCCACTCAGCTAGCCACTCAGTCTGATACTCTATAAGAGGAGGAGCAAGAGAAGGAACTACAATAGATAAATGCGGAGAACACTGCGGAGAAACCAAGCGGCAACAAGGCTACCATCGTCAAAAACACAGCTCAGCTCTCCAAGATCCCACGTCATATGCTCTCCACGGTTCCACATCAAATCATCACTCAGCAAGCGGAGAACACCACTACAACTTGGCCTGTCATCCCCACTACATTAAGGAGTAAGAGGAGGAACTACAACAGGCAAATGCGGAGAACACTGCGGAGAACACTGCGGAGAACACTGCGGAGAACACTATGGAGAATACTGCGGAGAAACCAAGCGACAACAAGGCCACCATCGTCAAGAACACGGCTCAGCTCTCCAAGATCCCACGTCATATCAGTCATCCACTCAGTCAGCCACTCAGCTAGCCACTCAGTCTGATACTCTACAAGAGAAGGAGCAAGAGGAGGAACTACAACAGGCAAATGCGGAGAACACTGCGGAGAAATCAAGCGGCAACAAGGCCACCATCGTCAAGAACACGGCTCAGCTCTCCAAGATCCCACGTCATATCAGTCATCCACTCAGTCAGCCACTCAGCTAGCGGAGAACACCACTGCAACTTGGCCTGTCATCCCCACTGCATTGATATAGTACATCACTGCGGCCTCTGCAGGAGGAACATCGGACGATGCATATTTGGACGAATTGAAACCGTCCGATGTCTACAGCTATTTCATTATTCGAAAGATTTCACTGCGGCAGGAGATATTGTGGGATTCACACCACTAACTGGCACGTTGTCTCCATTTCTTTCCGGTATTTCGATACTTCTTGCCATAAGAACATGGCCTTTCTCTGTTTTTTGTGGGCAATTATTACGAATTAATCCTTTACACTCGATATACCTTCCTAATTAAGCCTTAGCGCACCTCTCTCCGCACATATATACCTATATATCACATAGATTAAATCAATTTTGTAGTGGTGGAAGTAGGTCAAAAACGCATAGCAAGCGATCAGAGTTCGATTTGACTTAGGGCTAGGGCTAAAATTCGATTTAACTTAGAAAAATCCAACTTCATAAATTTAATTCATGGGCCTTTACTTGTTATTACTAATATATTAATATTTAGATAAAATAATTAATTTTCTTTTTATATCTTTTAAGTTCTATATTAAGCTCTTTTTTAATAAAATTATAATCTTTAATAAAATTCATAAAATAATATATCTTAAGATATTCTCTAAAGAAATAATAATTAATTATTATTATAGTAAAGAATATTTTAGAATTAAAATATTAATTACTTCGATAAGTATTATTAGCGATATTAAATATATATTTATTATTTACTTTAGCGATTAATAATATTAGAATTATATAAATTATATAACTTAATATTAAAAAGCGCTTATTAAATTCTTTTTAACATTTAATAATATTTTTAATAAAATAAAATATTATTCGCTATTAAATTTAGAATAATATTTAAAATAATATTTTACTTTCTAATTTATATTAATTAAATTTATTAAAAAATAATATTTAATTATTTTATAAGATAGTAAGATCTCTTTTAATAAAACTACGTAATAGCTATATAATTACGAGATCTAGATACGTAGTTAATAGAATAAATAGATTAGTTACTAGATAAACTAATAACTAAAGAAAAAAGAAGAGGAAAGAGAACTTATAAATATTTAAGACTTTATTAAATATATTAAATACTCGCTCTAGCTACGTAGCTTATAGCCTAATAAGTAATATAAGCGAGTCTATTAATTCGCTCTAAGTACTTTTATTCTTATAACTATATTCTCTCTTAGAAGATATTCTCTCTTAGAAGATATAATCTCTAAATTTTATTATTATTACGTCTTATAATTAAATACTATAAACTTATTAATCTCGTATATATTATTTATTATTAGCTTAAATATAATTTAACTTAACGTATATTATAATAGCGTATTTATACTACTTACTCTAAGGTCTTCTTAAATATATTAATATATTTATATACTAAATTATAATAGTATTACTTTACGTATTATTATCTTAATTAATAAAATATAAATATATTACTATTCTATTACGATATACTATTATCGCTATTATTATACGCTATTATAATTATTATTACTTTAATAATCGTAGTAATTCTATTATTATAATTATAAAAGTCGCGCTAATAAGTATAAAAGTCTTACTTTTAATCTTACTTTTATCTTCTTAATAATAATATTAATATTAATACTAGTAAATACTTAATTCTTCTTTATATCTACTATCTTATTTTTATTTATTTTTATCGTAATATCGCGATAGTATAAGAGCGTAGTTTACTAGCGATTAGCTAGCGAATATAGACTATAAAAGATATATAGTCGTTATAGAATTTAATAGTATATTTAATAGTAGAATTAATTTCTAAGAAATATTAAAACTTCGAGATATATAAAGTAAATCTATATTCGCTAAGTCTCTAAATATATAAAGTATATTATTAAAATTAAATTCTAAAAGGGATTCTAATATAATATATATAATATCGAAGTCTTAGTATAAGTAGCGCTAAGGTTTATAATAATATTAAATCTAATAATTATCTTCTCTTTTAAATCTTAATTCTTAGATATTTAAATAAATAGAATATTTATTAAAAAATCTTTAAACTCTAATAGAGAAATAAGAGAAAAGAGTTAATTTATTATAATATTATTTTAATAATATAATAGAACTAACTATTACGCGTTATAAACGCGTTATTAATATATTATATAATAATATTAATATTACTTTTAAGAATAATATTACTTTTATAATATTAATTAATAATAATATATAATAAGTCGATATATTTAGTATTAGTATTTTTATAATACTTATTAATAATCTCTATAGCGAATAAATATTTAATTTAAAGATTTATAATAAAATCTCGAAATTTTAATAAATAAAAGAAGATAGAAGAGTTTCTTTATAAGTAATATTATTTTTATAATATATTACGCTAATAGCGAAGTAACGTAGTAATAATTAGTATATATAAAAGAATAAGATAGAATTAAACTAGAAAATCTTAAATTTATATATATAGTTAATTATTAATTTAGAGTTACTACGCTCTTTAGTTAGATTAACTAAGTTTATTAAGAAATCATTATGATTTAACTCATATATGTGTGTGTTGTAAAAGATGTTGATTAATCTATATGGTCTGCAGGCAGATATGTGCGGTGCCAAGCCTACGCTAGTGGCCCTATGAGTATCCCTGAGGCATCTTATGACAATTAACCACAAAAAACAGAGAAATGCCATGTCCTCATGGCAAGAAGTATGCATGCATGTGTGTTTTTCGAAAAACCGGAAAGAATTGGAGACACCTGGCTAATTAGTGGTGTGCGTCCCACGAAATCTCCTGCTGGAAATGAAAACTTTTGAATGATGAAATGACTGTCGGAGCAAGACATCGGACGGTTTCAATTCGTCCAAATATGCATCGTCCGATAGGTGACCCTTGCCTGCAGAGGTCCAATTGGCTGCGATCGACGTAGTAGGTCCTTCTCTTGTGTGCTCATTGCAGTGATGTACCACATCAATATAGTGGGGATAATAGGCCAAATTATAGTGTCGTTCTCCGCTGGCTGAGTGGCGATTTGACGTGGGATTGTGGAGAGGTGAGCCGTGTTCTTGACGATGGTGGCCTTATTGCCGCTTGGTTTCTCCGCAATGTTCTCCACAGTCTTCTCCGCAGTCTTCTCCGCATTTGTCTGTTGTAGTTCCTCCTCTTGCTTAACTGAGTGCTTTGGCTGAGTGGCTTGCTGAGTGGATTGGTGAGCTGGCTGAGTGGCTTGTAGAGACCTTCTCGTATATTGCTGGCGTCGAGTCTTCTGATTCCGGTCCTTCTTTTTCTGCTGTGTTGCACGTACAAATGGACACTCCGGTGATCGAGTAGCGTGGAAATCAAATGGATTGTCACTATCCTAGTCATAAGGATCAAGACCGCACAGTGAGCACATCGTTAGATCCGGGGATGGAAAAGTAGGGTCGAATTCTCGATGAAAGCCAGCACGGGCTACGTCAGAGGCACTTGGATATACGTGTGGCCATGACGTGAATGAGGCAAGTCTTGCAGCGTATGAGTTCATTGTGATATCGATAGGCCTATTGAAAGGATCGATTTGGACGGTGTCAAAAGGTACTCGATGACTGCGAGTGTGTTGGAGGTCCGGCTTGGAGCGTCACACTATTAGGTATTGATGTGGGCTTTGCGTAAACGTCTGGAAAGACGCCTGGATGTCCTATGAAGTAGGGCCAGGTGTTGCTACCAATTGTTAAGGAATCATTATGGTTTGACTCATATATGTGTGTGTTGTAAAAGATGTTGATTAATCTATGTGGTCTGCAGGCAGATATGTGCGGTGCCAAGCCTACGCTAGTGGCCCTATGAGTATCCCTAAGGCATCTCATGACAAAGTTAGTTCAATAATTCTCTCACGTCTTCTTATTAAAAATTTATATATAGAAGTCTTATACTTTAAGATACTTAGTATTAGAATAAATATAGATACGATATTAGTATAAGTAAGATAGAACGAGAATAATAAGACTATCGAACTATATATATAGAAAGAAGATATAATATAGTAGAAGATATCTTCGTTAAGACTCGCTAGTTATAGAGCTAAGAACTAAGTAGTATATTAAGAATACGCTCGAAAATACTTAGCTTGCGATAGATATAGTTACTTCATAATTTCTCAAATTATAAAGCTCGCTTTACGCTTTCTAACGCTATAAAAATAATAAAGTTTAATTTATTATTAATAAATTAAATTAATATTCAAATGTGGTAATTATACTAGACGCGTTCGAAATCGAATAATAATCCTTTTATCTATTTATATAATTATTCTTCTTTTATTATTCTACTAATTTATTAATATAAATATATTTATTCTCGATACCCCTCGCGGAAACGTTACTAAATACTTTAGGCATATATATTTATTTTATTCGCCTCTTAGAGCCCCTATTAACGTCTCTAGATTATTTCTTAATAAATCTACTACTATTAATAATCGAGGTCGTAAGCTTAATAGCTATTTATTACTACTTATAAACGCGTTAGAAAGCTTTTAAAAAGAGCTTAAACGGATTTACAGCTATTATTCTCCTCTATATACTTCTCTTAAGTTAGCGATAATATCTTTTAATCTAGCGATACTATCTTTTAAGACGTATCTTTCTTCTTAATTCGTTCTTTATTACTCTATTTCTCGCGGAAACGTTACTAAACGTTTTAGATATATATACTTCTTTTATTCGCCTCTTAGAGCCCTTACTAACGCCCTTAGATTATTTCTCGACGAATTCGTTACTACTAATAATCGAGGCCGTAAGCTTAATAGCTATCTACTACTATTTATAAACGCGTTAAAAGACTCTTAAAAAGAGTTTAAACGAATTTACAGCTATCGTTCTCCTTTATATACTTCTCTTAAGTTAGCGATAATACCTTTTAACTCAACGATACTATCTTTTAAAACGCGTCTTCCTCCTTAATTCGTTCTTTATTATTCTATTTTAATTATATTTCTTAGTCGCTTAATTAATACTATCTATTTTATTAGCTTAATAATTTACTTAGTTAAATTATTAACTAATTACTTAGTTATTTACTTAATTATCTACTTAATTAATTATTTAGCTAGTTACTTAATCTAATACTCTATAAGAGAAAAAGTAAAAGAAGAAACTATAATAGGCAAATGCGGAGAATACTACGAAGAACACTACGGAGAATACTGTGAAGAACACTGCGGAGAACACTGCGGAGAATACTACGAAGAATATTACGGAGAAATCAAACGGTAATAAGACTACTATCGTTAAGAACACGGCTTAGCTCTTTAAGATTTCACGTTATATTAATTATTTACTTAATTAGCTACTTAGCTAGCTACTTAGTCTAATACTCTATAAGAGAAGAAGTAAGAGAAGAAACTATAATAGGCAAATACGGAGAATACTACGAAGAAATTAAGCGGTAATAAGGCCCCCAGCACTAAGAATACGGCTTAGCTCTTTAAGATCCAGTTATATACTCTCCACGGTTTTATATTAAATCATCACTTAGTAAGCGGAGAACACCACTGCAACTTAGTCTATTATCCCCACTGCATTAAGGAGTAAGAGAAGGAACTACAACAGGCAAATGCGGAGAATACTACGGAGAAATCAAGCGGCAACAAGGCCCTCAGCACTAAGAACACAGCTCAGCTCTTCAAGATCCCACGTTATATACTCTTCACGGTTTCACATCAAATTATTACTTAGCAAGCGGAGAACACCACTGTAATTTAGCCTATTATCTTCACTATATTGAGAAGTAAGAGGAGGAACTACAATAGGCAAATGCGGAGAATACTGCGGAGAAATCAAGCGATAACAAGGCCTTCAGCACCAAGAACACGGCTCAGCTCTCCAAGATCCCACGTCATATGCTCTCCACGGTTCTATATCAAATTATTACTTAGTAAGCGGAGAACACCACTGCAACTTAGCCTATCATCTCTACTATATTAAGAAGTAAGAGAAGAAACTATAATAGACAAATACGGAGAACACTGCGGAGAACACTATGAAGAATACTACGGAGAAACTAAGCGGTAATAAGGCCACCATCGTTAAGAACACGGCTCAGCTCTTTAAGATCCCACGTTATATGCTCTTCAATGCATATTTAAACGAATTGAAACCGTCCGATGTCTACAGCTATTTCATTATTCGAAAAATTTCACTGCGGTAGAAGATATTGTGGGATTCACACCACTAATTAGCACGTTATCTTCATTTCTTTTCGATATTTCGATACTTCTTATTATAAGAATATAACCTTTCTCTATTTTTTATAGATAATTATTACGAATTAATTCTTTATATTTAATATATCTTTCTAATTAGGTCTTAGCGCACCTCTCTTCGCATATATATATCTATATATTATATAGATTAAATTAATTTTATCGTAGTAAAAGTAGATTAAAAACGTATAGTAATTAGTAAGCGATTAGAGTTCGATTTAACTTAGAACTAGAGCTAAAATTCGATTTAATATAGAAAAATTCAACTCTATAAATTTAATTCATTATAGGCCTTTACTTATCTTTATTATAGAAATTTAAAAAAAGTAATTAATAGAATAACGTATTCGCGATAACGCTTTTAATTATTAATTAATAATAATAGTAGAAATAATAATAGTAGTTAGATAATACGGCTCTATAAGTAATAGCGAGATATTATCGCGTTATTAATATTTATATTATTAAATATTATTCGCTAGTATTAACGCTACGATAAAGAATATAAAAATTTCTTTTAAATTATTTATTTTTATTCTTTATAACTTTTAACGCTTTTCTTATAAGTGCTTACTTTAACGCTATAATATTAATATTAATACTAATACTAATATAATATATCTTATTATCTTAATAGTTTATCTTTCTTTATTATAAGTATCTTACTATTATTAATTACGTTAATATATAAACTAATAATTTTATAATACTCTTTTTTAATAATAATAACTTTAATAGTAAGTATATAGTCGTTTTATAGACGCGATTATTAACCTCTAATTATTTTTATTACTATCGCTTTATATATATAGTTATTAATAAATTCTAATATCTAATTTATTATATAAAATTTATTTTTATTAAAATAATAATTTATATATTTAAAATAAGTCTCTCTCTTATAATAATTATAAAGTCGAAAGATATAATATTAATTACTATATTAAAATTCCTCTATATCTTTAAATATAGATAAGAAAATTAATATAACGCTATTATCGCGTTAAATAATTTTAATAAATATCTTATTAATAAGCTAAGCTCGATAAAAAGATTACTTAATAATATAAAATAGAAAAATAGATAATAATAATAGCTTTAATCGCTTTTATTATAATTATAAATTTTTAAGATTAATTTATAATAATAAATAAGCGTATAGCGAAGTTAAAGAAAATAAATAAATTATTAAAAAAGAAGTTTAAAAGCCTTTATCGATATATAGCGAATATTAATAAGTATTAACTCGATAATTATAATTTAACTACTTTCTTATTAAAGTAATAAATTAATAAATTTAATTTAAAATCTAATAATAAGATAATAAAGAATATTTAAGTAGCGATTTTTTTTAATAATAGTACTAGTATAAAGTTATTAGATAGTTCTTTAATAACTATTTTAGATAAAAATATATCTATATTAATAATATATATTTTAATATAATATATTTTAATATAATATATTTTAATATAATATATTTTAATATAATATATTTTAATAATATATATTTTAATATAATATAGTCTTTTTATAATAGAGTTTAATAAATAGCTAAATAATATAATTATTTAATTAATCTATATCTTAATAATAATAAATATAAAGAAATACGCGCGTAATATAAATATTATCTAGAAATATATCTAATCTAGTTAATATTTATATCTTATTTTATTATATTTATTTATTTATTATTAATTTATATAGTTAAGTAAATTCTTTAATAATAAAAGACTTATTATTATCTATTACTTAATACTTTTACTTATTATTTATTTATTTATAAATTTAAATTAGCTCGCTAATATTAATAAATTTATTATTTAATAATTAATAATTATACTCTTTATCTTAATTAATCTATTTAATTTTATACTAAATATCTTTCTTATACTTAATCTTATTAATAATTTCTTTAATCTTTTAAAGCTTATTATTATTAATAAGCTTAAAAGTCTATATAAAGATATTCGCTATATTACTATAATCGCGATTATAATAAAACTTAAATAATAATATATAAATTTTTTTATAAATTCTATATATTAAGAATAAAAGTAGACGATATATTTACGCTTCTATCTTATCTATAATTTAAAATAATTTTATAAATTTATAAAATAACTTTTTATTTAGATATTTTTACTTTAAATTCTTAATTATTAATATTATTAAATTATTTATCTTATAACTTTAAAATTAATATATTTTATTATAATATTTAAATTAAGTTATAATAGCGCTATAAAAGCGCTTTACTATCTTATTCCTTAATACTT